CTTAAACTGTCTCTAGCTGTGGGAAACACCCTCTAAGATGTTATTTATTTTCACCGAGTCATTTTACTCTTCACTGCCTCGATAAATGATGTAGCTAAAAGCTACATCATTTATGTAGCTTCAGCTTACCTCTGAACCAGCATCGTTATTGGCTGTCCAACAATTACATTCAATAAATTAGAATATTTATGAAAAGTTCATCTATTTTACTAATTTAGTTCACAAGTTAACATTATGTAAACAAGCCTCGTCAAGACCCATATTCTAATTCATTGAATATCATTGTAAATGTTGAGGTGATGGAGATTAATCACACATTATGACGCTACATAGGGACGTCCCGATCCGATCACGTGATTGGAAATCAGGTCCGATCACGTGGTTTCAGACTCGATCGGAATCGGGTGAGTCATCCCGATCAATGATCGGATATATATGTATATTTATTCTAAACACAAATGGGCATAATAACAGTATCTACCGTTATGTGGCGATACAGTCAAACTGTTTCAAAACAACACATGCGCGACACTTTGCAGCAGTGATGGCCGTAAAGCGAAGCAGAATGTGACATCATCTTGAAATGGGATTACTACTTTTGCTAATTTATCGACATTGTCGCTTTATTTAGCGACTTTTCAGAACCCGAATTTTTTGTTTGGTTGGTTGGTTGGTTGGTTGGTTGGGGGGTTTTTTAAAGCGACTACCGACAAACCTAGCAACTTTCTCAGATTCATTGGCGACTTTGTCGACAAATTGGGAAAGCACCGATAACTGCCATGAGAAGTCAGTCTCCTCGTGAGGCAGCCTGCAGGGGAGCAGAGAGGAGACACGATCCATCCTATTGGAATCAAAACATGCGCAAAGCTTCTAATGACTGTATTTTTGTTAAATATGATATGTAGAAATTATTTATTTAGTGTATGTTCAGACAAAGTATTTACATTTAAATTATTCAATTATTTTATAAAGTTTATTTGTAGTTCTGATTGTGTCAAGTATTCTAATCACTTTTGCCTAGCCAGTGTTGATATTCATTTCTATACGGCTCAGATCACACATGCTCAATGCAAATTATGCCACCATCTAGAAACGTCTTCCTTTTTTAAATGTATTTTTTGAAGTGTCTGATCAGGACTCCGTACTGGCTGATAGTTAAAATCAGATGACTCAGACAGAAAAACCTTCTCGGGATATCAATAGTTGTGCTATTCAAAAATCTGGTCTTTATGGTAAAGTGGAAAGAAAGAAGGGAAACGCTGTAGGTTTTATAACAAAGCTAGCTTAAAGTTTGTCACGAGCCATAGAAACGTGGTCGTGGCAGCATCATGCTGTTGAGAGCCTTTTCTTCAGCAGATATCTCAGTAATTGCACTGAGCTAAATGCAGTACACTTATAGAAGAAAATCTGGAATGACCAAATTCATGTCTGAAAATGGCCAAAGTCCAGACCAAAACATAACCACGACTCTGTGGCAGGACTTGAAAATTGTTCTTCACAGACACTCTCTATCCAATCTTATTGAACTCCTTTGAAAAGAAGATGCATTCAAGTCTCTAGATGTCCAAAGCTGGTACCGAAACATCCAGAGACTTTCAGCTGTGATTGCAGCGAAAAGTGATTTGAAAAAGTATGGATTGGAGCTGACTATGCCACACTTTACTTGGAAAAACTGACAACCATGCATCATTTTTCATAATTTTTGTCTCCTACTTTCATTTATATACTACTCTATGTTGGTGTACCACTTTATCATTGTTTGCAAGTCTCCTAGTTCAGCATTTCAACCATACTTTTGTTCACCGTTACAGCACTCCTTAATGAGGCAAACCAAAGTTTGCAGGCCAACCCTTTATATATATACTTTTACTTTTAGTGGTTGCTATCTAATTTATTGGTTTCTGTCTGAACTACAGTGCCTTATTTGGCTTGTTGAGATCAAAATTCGATGAGGAGACTAAGGCCAGAAGTTGTTTTTGTTGACAGACTGAAATCCTTTTAATCTTTAGAGTTTACTTTGCGAAGTGAAACTGAAACCGGTGTTTACTTTTTATCACACTGAGGAAATAAAAAAATGAAATCCCCTTAGAGTGACCATATCAAACATTTATAGATAGTTAAGGCACTACAGAGTATATTTTTCCAAGCTTTACAACTGAGATAACACATAGACGGCGGTTCACCTCAACGGCTGTGGTTGCCATAGAAACATGATGGGTAAAAAAAAAAAAATAAGGGTGGGACTGCAGGGGGAGGTGGGCAGTGAGACATGTATGCTAATCCAGCTCCCCATCATGTTGTGTGGCTTGTGGTTTTGGACTGGGGAAAGGAGCGGATGTGATGTCTGGGTCAGGGAGGAGTTCAGGATCAAAATACGCAAACCAATTCGATGCAAACCTTGTAATTGAAATTTCTGAGGTATTTGAGTCAACATATTGATCAAAGCAGATGTCAGCTGTAATGCTTTCAAACTGAACTCCGTTCTGTCCAGCCCTGGCACAGAAAGGAGTTTTTGTCATCATGCCATTGTCCTCTCCCTCTGAGCAGAAAAAAATAAATAAAATAAGACACATAACCAATTCAAAGCTTTGTCACTCTTTTGCGAAACATTTTGGTACTGCTTCCTGATTAGTAAGTCTGAAGCTGAAATAATCAGCTCTGTTCTTGTGACTTCATTTAACCTAACCTGAATGTGCCCTGTTTCCTGTAGTCACAGATGCAGAAAACCGTCACAGTTGGTGGGAGGTGAGATGCAGAGGCAGGCTACTAAAAAAAAAAAAACACCGGTTTCTGGAGCTACACACAGATGTAGCGTCCATATGGTTTTATACGTGAATTAGAACGCTGTCACTCCGAACGATGTCTTGTGACAGCTTAGAAGATGTGCAACTATCAAACAACAGAGGAAATGTGGAAAAGAAGAGGGGGGGAGGAAGTGTAATGAAAACCGGAATATCTTCCCAAATAAATATTACATCAGGGTTGTGGGTGGGAAGCCTTACAAGGCTCTGGTAGGATTCACAACTCCTCTGCCCCTCCAAGAGGATTACACTAGAAAATGTACGGGGCTTGTGATGTCAAACTAGTCTTGGATCTGCTGCCGCTTTGTGCTCTGAACAGCAAGAACAGGTGGATGGCATTTCCGTGCCCTATTATTAGAAGTCGAGGTGAGAAAATAACTTGAGCAGTTCAACGTTAGAAGTCTAATTGCTCCTCTATGTTTTCTGCCGGAGCAGATGGCTGGAAAGACTGGGTCACAGTGTGAATTAATGGTCCAATAAGGAGCAGCCAATTAGGCTGACCTATGCAAACCAGGCCAAGGTTGGACATCCAGGAGAACTTCTTAAACTGCAAATAAATACTAGAGCACTGGATTCACAGCCATCAAACACACAGTTGTCCCTAATTACTTGAAACGCCGACTAAATGAGAGGCGTGTCGACGGCTCACTTACGCCAGAACTAAACCAAATCTCTGCCTCCGACGCCACAGCAGCGTCTCGATAACATCATTAAAAACTATCTTGAAACGGCTGTCACACACTCACACCCGGCAGCCAATGGAGTCACTGCGCTCTCCAGCTGTCTGCGCTCAATATTCCCTCTGAAAGGAGAGTTCAAAAAGAAAAATAGAAAAAAGGCAGCGAAGCTTTTTCTCAGCTTTGAACCATCAGCTAATGCATCTCTGCTGCAGCCCTGGCACAGAGAGGAGTTTCTTCATGAAGCCATTGTCCTCTCTCTTTGAGCAGAAACAGCTAATGTGCAAGATTTGACTCCTCAGAGAAGGGAGTCAGAGATGATAGGTGACTGGGATGTGCAGCATATTAATAGCATGAAATACAATGTTTGGGGGGAAAGTAGATGATAGCAGACGATAAATGTGAGGACACAGTTTGTTTTCGTCAGTGCATCTCTCTAATTGAAAGAATACAAGTAAATCATACTGTGATCTTAATTAATCTGTAAGTGTCAAATTATCTGAGAGTGCTTTACGTCTGTTTCCACTTTTATTTAAACGCGCCAGCGTAAATGACGTGACATTTCATTCAGAGCCTACTTCACTGCACATGCATCCTTCAGACTCATGTATGAAGCTGTAATAACAGGAAAAAACCCAAATAGACTAAAACAGATGAGCAGGAGGGTATAAAAGTGTATCCTTTTTGCATATCTTAAAAGGCAATAGTCTTATTTACGAAGGAAAACAAACCCTCATTTTTTTTTTTTTAAAAGGGGGGGTAATGAAAAAAACTGCATCTTTCATCATTCCATTTGCATGATTTCCATCATTATATAATCTTGAGCAGGGACTCAGTTTATCCCTCCACCTGGACTTGTCAGCTGCAGGAATTAGGATGCAACTGTGGTTGACCAGGAGCCAGATGATTGAATTTGGACATGGATCAGATGCATAATTTGATCCAAACCCGCACTGGGGGAAAATCTGGGCTGTCGGCCGTTTAACTCCCAGAAACCACATTTCATTGAGTAAAAAAATAATAATAATAATCCCACCTGGATGTTTAATGGGGGGAAATTAGATTAACACAGACAGACTGAGAGACAACAGGTTGACTTGTTTATTTTATGAACATATTAACTGTGTAGGTATTTTGGGGGAAAAAAAACATTCTTGAATTTATCTTCTACTCTATTAAAATGCTTTAACAATGAGCAAAGAAGAATAATAGAGAGAAAAGATTCCCTTCACTACTAAGGACACAATTGTGTAACTGTTTTTTCCCCCCTCTCTCTTTTGCATGCCTATGCTGAGCCAAACAGAGTGATATATTACAACCACATGTTTATAACTGTTGCTTTACTGTATCTGCTGTGACATATTTGGATAAAGTAAAAAATATTTGTAAAAGTTCTGCTATCTAATAAGTAATTGTGACGAATTTGGCTCGAAAACTCCGTAACAAGAAGATTAAAAACAACAAACAACTCGTGTAAAACACGAAGCACAATGTAAGTCCAGAGTATTTCATAGTTTCTTACCCTCTTTTTTGAAGAAGAAGAAGAAGAAGAAGAAGGAGAAGAAGAAGAAGAAGAAGTATATATCTGGATGTCTCCTCTGAACCAGCCGGGCATCGGTGATCTACACAAAACGCGCGTCGAGCTTCTTCGTGAGGAAGAGCCGAGTCCAGATGTTGCTCACTTTGAGCATGTTTGTCAGCCAGCTGCAAAGGATCTGTCCTTGGTGCTGAAGTGCTGTTCTCACTGGTGAACTCCTCCTGACGATCCTACAACTTCTGCCTCCCCAGCCGATCAATCGATCCTCACTCAGAGTAGAGAAGAAGAAGCAGAAGAAGAAGAAGAAGGGGGAGAAAATATGTATGCACCGCTCACGACGCGTCCAAAACAACCACAGAGGGATCCCACCTGTCCGACCGCAGAGGGACTCTAAACGAAACAGCAACGAGGTTTGACTTGGGAAGTTCAGGAGCTGCTGAGAAATGCTGCTGGAGATCAGTTGGATGCAACCTTTCTCTGTGCCTCCACAGAAATAATGACGCGCCGATCTCCCCTGGCCGCTCCAATTGTTTCTAGATTCGAGAATAATGAGCCTGCTGTACAGTGGGGTGGGGGCCGAGGTTGGGGGGGGGGGGGGAAGGGGTGGAAGGGAAAGAAAAATAAAAAAAACCTTAAAATCAAGCTCCTATCTTCTCGTGTGTCTTTTCACATACTTTAACCATCCCTTTCTCCAACCGAAATGGGTCAAGTTATGTGGAAAAACGTGAGGAAAAAACAAACAAACAAACAAACAAAAAACACCCATAAAAAGATTACACTAGATCTTCCCTCGGTTCAGCTAATTTTAGAAAAGGGAATCTGTTTGTTCTTTCTCTCCTTTTTCTCAACTGCTCCGCGAAGGCTGGCCAGGTCCTCATTCACCTCCATCTCATTAAAACTGAATCGCTCTTGAATTGAGTGGCGAAGCGCTTCATGAACTTGAGAGGCACTGCGCATAGTTTGTTTTTCACTACGAAAAGAAGAGGAAAATACGCCCCGTGGCACACATGCTTACCGGGGAGGAAATGCTCAGCTGTCCTTGTTCTGCTTTATCTTTTTTTTAATTCACTTTAATTCAGTTCATTTATACAGCGCCAATTTACAACAAATGGCTCCAAGGTGCTTTTTTTTTTTTCCTTTTTTTTGTTTTTTTTACAAAAGTGCCTCCTTTCTACACGATAATCTCTGAGCTATAAAGCTGCTCATTTTATTGGTTCTTTCTAAATTACTGTGGGGGGCAAATTTTACTGCCACAGTATTGCCACCAAATGTTTAAACTGAAATTTGGTTTAGATTCAAGCTAATGCAGTGCATTGAAACACCTGTGGACATACATAAACCACCTTTCTACATATTTATTTGAAAACTGCCAGCAAAATAGGAGCACATTTTTGAAACATATCACCTTGCTAAATGATTACAATAAAATATTGTATATATTGCAAGAAAAAAAAAAAAAAAAACAAGAAATAATCTAACATTTTTTTCTAAATGTA